AGATGTACAAATTTAGCCAAGTGATAAGTATTTTCTATACATTTATTCAAGGCTTTTAAAATGATGATATTTAGTTACTTCTCGAATGAATTATAGTCTAAATTATTGCATTTGGTGTTGAATAGATAAAATCAATGACAGTATAAGAAATTGAAGGAAATAAGCAAAAGTTGACAAAATTGGAGAAAGGGCTAAGTTGAAAGAGATTCAAAGTTCGGGGACTAAAGTGTAAATACTCAAAAGTTCTGTCGAACCTCACGATGAAGATTTAAGAATGCGCAAAGTCAACTAGATAAAGAAAGACATCAAAGGGATGAAATATAATCGAAGTATGATCACATATCAAATTGCAACTGAAAAAATGTATGCACCGTTTTCATACTCATATTGAGACTCATTTTTGCAATAACAAATGATCGAATTTGAAAATGGTATTCAAACAAAGTTGTTGCCCTTTGAGTTAGCTTTCCAATGCATCTTGAATCGTTCCAATCGGATATCAAAAGAAAAAATTATGGAAAAAATACTGAATGTTGTGCAGTACAATCGAAGCTGACGACAACGCCTAGACACTATCCCATAGTGCCATGAGTTATGTTTCTGATTTTTCTTCCGAAAGTCTGTGCTCAGGTGCCCAATCGTATCACCTAGGAGCCTCACTGCTGTCAAATAGAGTTTTCAATTGAAATTCATATTTTTAAAAGCCCAACTCAACTAAAACTCTTCCAAAACTTGAAGAAGACATAAACACAACTCTAGAGAAGACAATTAGGGGATTCCACAAATTGAGAGGCAAACACATACAACTTGATATTGAGAGAGCAAGATCAAAGAGCAAAAGCTAGGGACTGAAGAATTTGGAGATTAAAAAAGATTCTTGGTGCAAGATCCAATTCTTTTCATGATCAAGATTTCAAAACTTGGTTATGAACTCTATACTCAGGGGCGAATCCAGCATCAGAGTTCAGCTAGGGCGGAGGAACTTGACCGTCGACCAATGACCATCGACAATCAACAGTCATAATAGCCTGATCGTTTATTAAAAATTGATTAAATAATATTAAAAATTGTTCAATATATATGTATATGCATTAAAATGTAAAAATTATCCCAAACATTGTCTCATGTTCTGCAATGCATGCTTATACAAGTTCAGTAATTTCATAGCATTCTGATTTATTAAAAAACAGAGTACAAATGGCTGAATTGAGCCCAACATCTGCTCAATTAATTTTTTTCATTTATCCTAATTTCCTAAACATAAATTTCCAAATCCCAAATCAAAACTCATAAAACATAAATTATTTATCATAAATCACAATTCTCATTTTTCAGTCATAACTTATACAACATAATTCATAACTAATAAATAAAAAACATAGACTGTGTGATTAATAACATAGATGAAACTTGAAAGAATCATATGATGCTTCAAAATTGCCCTTCAACAATGATTAGATAGCTTTTTTCCTTTGTTGATTAACAGCTCAAGCTTTCTCTCCCAAGCTGTAAAACAAAAAAGCAAAAGACATTGAAGGATAAGCCCTAGCCATTGAACTCTTTGTGCTTTGATGGGATAGTATAAGAATTATGTGTAGATAACAATTTTAAGTGCTTTAAATTTCAAAGTAAATTAAAAAATAAATGCTCTATTCATTGTTTATTTATTTATTTATGCTGGCCATTCCCAATTCACAGAACAAAATCAATACGACAAGACATTCAACGCTCAATAGTCTTTTTTCTTTTTCCTTTCATATGTTCAGCAAAGCACAGATGCGTTGAGCCTCAACAGTCTTTTCCGATAGAGATTATCATCACTTTCCAACACTTAATAGTTAACACAGAACAAAAACACACACACAAGAAAAAAAGAGAGAGAGAAAGAGAGAGGCCCTAACTTCCTAAGACCGAAGATTCGGAAGCGTTGACGGTGACTCGTCGTCCTCACCCGCCGCCCGTCGACAGCAAGAGCTAGCAACAAACTTCACTTTGTAGTTCACTGTTCAGCATTCGCACAAATCGCTTGGAACTTGGAAGGGTTTCATGGATTTGGAGTCTTGGACCATCTACTCTGTATTGATTTTGGGTTAAATGGTAATAAATTTGGGCTAATATTTTTGAAAAAAAGAGCCCATGTCAATTGTTATCTAGTCCAAATAAGCCTAGAAGCGAAAAGAAAATTAAAACCCAGATACCCAACCCAGACATTTCATCTTCCTCAACTTCTTTCCCTCTTCCGACTGCAACTGCAACACCCGGTGGCAATGGCGATTTTGGCGGAGTCAGCATGCGCGGCCGCACCCTCTCGCCAGGTGCTGGCTCCACTACTGTCTATACCTTTTGTTTTTCTTCCATTATGATGAGTAGCTAAATTTATTATTACGGCAAACAATGTAACCTTTTGAGATCCTTATTTATTATTTTTTTTAATACTTATTTTTAAGTTTCTTTATGCACATGTGTGGATTGTAATCATGTTCTCAATGCTTTAAATTTTCTGATCAATTATTCAATGATTTCGTGAACAATAATTACGTAGAGATGCAGATTCTCTATTTAGACCACATATTAAAATCCAATAAACTAATATAATGTGCAGAGATACCTATATTAATTATTGAGGTATAAATAAATTCTTAGAACTATTATTTCGTTTAACTAAGTTTGATTCACATAAAGACATGGAATTGAAGTAGTTAATTAGGCCCAATGTGAACTCGAGAGGGGTAAATTGAATACAATAGGAGAATTCGACCGAACACCACCTTAGATTTTATGAATATTGATTTAAGACTTAAAAGTGATCAATAAGTGAAATTGTTCCGCTCTAATATATCCATTTATTATTTGAACTTTCAATCATTCTTTGTGTGTATCCACTTACTTTCAAATAGTTGCATAAAAAATCACATCTAATTCTTTGTTTGTTTTCGATCAAATGAAAGTCAGGAATAAATTGAACCAATTGTTAAATATTAGTCATCGTGGAAACGATATCCGAACTTTTAGGTCCACTTTATTACTTGTTACGATTTATACACTTATAGAAATAAAATCGACAACACCAAGCAAAAAGTACAAATTAATTTCTGATAAAAAATAATGCGTATAATCATTACCGTTACTTAGGTCGCTCACGTCTGTTGTATTTAGTATGATATAATCAAGTTATAATATTAAATAAATATTATTTATTTATTTAAATGAACTTTCCAAATATTCTATATCGATATTGAAGTGTATTTACTTTAAATGGTCCTTAGCATTTGAGTCTTGGCTCTTGCATTCTCAACTACTTTTCTTTAGTAGCAAAGTTGGTCCTCATGGAAAGCTTTTGTCGAAGTTGATGTTAAAGTGGAACGCGTCGTCCATGTCCACATTCTAGAGGGTTCCGGGTCCTTTTTTTTTTTTTTTTGGGGTTCATGCTGTTTGGCTAGACATTTTTTCGCTTGTAAAATTTGATTTTTCACATCTATCGTAGTGAGATAGTAAAAAAAAAACGTGTCGAGCAAAATGTCAAAGGTGAGAATGAATTTGATCCATTGAACTTAGACCTTCTATGGCACGATTACATTTACCAACTGTAATTGTTGAAAAATACTGTTGCTAAATCCTCAATCAATTATCAACGAAATATTCTGTTACTATTCTGTCTGTATACCAATATTTTCTACTGTTGATTGGCTTTGATTGTCTCACTAATGCTGACCTTTTGACCAATTTGTTACAAATGTGTTTTGAGATAAATGCGTCTTTTGTTCTGTTAAATTCGTGATCTGATCCCTACACACGGTTGATTTCAGGACGTTAGATCTCTAGTTATTTGAGACCCATATAAATAGAGCTTAACTCTATTCTTCACAGATTCTAGTGAGTGTGTATCGTTTTTCTCTTGTTCTTCATTTAGGGTTTTCTCTTTAAATTGTTCTTTAATGATGGCTATTTCTGTTGTAAATCTAAAGTGAATTTATGTTGTTTACCAA